AACTGATTGAAGCAGCAGAAACCCGCCTTGAGGGTGAGCAGGATATGGTTATGTTAAGCAAAGCCAGCGTATGAAGATCGTGGGTAGTAATTGAGTGGCACAGGCTGTGTACGTAGGCAAGCTGGTGAAGGTCGGCAGGAAATGGAAAGACAGATCGGCGAACCCCTCTGGGGCGGCCTCGGCTTGGAGAAGCGCAGCGTTGATTGGGTTCTATGTGTCGTTCGTGCGTTGTTCTTTCGGAAGGGGCGTTTTCTTCTTTTCTTTTTCGGCACCGGATTTTGCAGGGCCGTATTGGAAGACGAGAAAGTAGCAAGTCACCCCCGGAAGAAAAACATCAATAGAGGCTGTTCTTTCAGACGCAGCGCAGGGCCCGGCGGCACATACAAGTACTTGTAGGGCGTCCCGATCCAACGTCTCTTCAAACACTCAAGTACAGTGGAGACGGAACTTTGGAGAGGGGCTTCAGCCCCTCTTCGCCCGTCGGATTAGACTTGCCCTGGCTAGTGCTAGTGCATGTGGCTAGCCTGTAGCAGGCGATGCGTTGCATTGGGAGGGGTAGAGGGAAATGATTGTGAATTGTGGTGGGGACTCGGGGAGGTGGGAAGAGACGTGGAAGCACAGCACAGCACATTACCAGCACCAGACCAGCGATCAAGAGAAGGGGGAGCAGACAGGGGATAGTGATGCGCAAGGGGGAGGGAAGACTCGGTACTTGCAAACTAAGAGTAACGTGCCTAGCTAGGTACTTTACCTCCTGCGTAGGTAGGTAGGTAAGGGACTAAAGCTACTATGCAGTGGAACAGAGCTCACCTCAGAGTACCTACTCTGTAGGTAGGGTACTTTACGCCGCACACTAAGGTAGATAGGTGCCTTAGGTTCCTGAGGGAGGTGGGCACTGTGCTACTGCGTAGGTAGGTAGCATATTGGGGACGTGACAGGGGAGCCGCTTTGACAATGGGCTGCAGATCCGACACTTCGTTGGTTGACACGAAGGACAACGGGAGAGAGAAGACGAGTGCGAGTACAACTCGCTGAAGGGGGGAGAGGGACGAGTGGGATGGGTGGGGTGGGTGGGAGGAAGACCAGTAGTCGTCGCAGAAAGCGCGACAGCGAGGGGGAGCAGAACCTGGTTCACAAAGCTTGCGGCCAGGATATGCCCAGCACGACGAAGCACCAAGACGTCGGGGACTCGGGGAAGGGCCGCGTTGTGATGAGGTCAGCTAAGTTTGGTTTGCTTTTCAACGCTTTGCTCCGAACGACCCAACCTGAGTGTATCTAATCTACGTGTCTACTACCTACCTAGGTAGGCCCTCAGCTGGGCTTGAGTCTTGACAGCTCACGTCCGGTCCTGACCAGGGCTGATGGCGGCTGACGGGCGTTGTCTGCCCCAGCAGCCTGGCAAACAGCTTTGAACCAAGTCATGAACTCAAGCGCCGGAGAAAACCACAGTGGCCGTTTGCGTCGGGCTCGGTTTCTGTCAGTCTCCAGTGCTCTGGTTGGTGGCGCAGACACTTCTCGGCAGGCTACCCCGACGGCGCTGACTAGCGTGCCGAGGTCTCTGGACGGTTTCACCTGGGCTTGTTCTTCCTGTTCTGCATACTAGGTAGTTCGTATGTACGTAGGAGGTAAGTACACTACAGGTGACAGCTTCTTCCTCATCACCGAGGCCCCCGGCTGAACGGTTTATTAGACGCATGCTACTGCTGATATCAACGACGGGTACTTCCGCGTCTCAAAGCCCAGCGATTTTGTGGGGGCGCTTGACCTGCGATGCCGTGCTGCTCCAAGAGGCGTATGGCCGAGACAAGTGGACTGAGACATGCCTGCCTCTCCATTCATGCGGATATCGTAGATAGCACGCTTTTCTGTTCATCTTTGATGGACATGCAGGAAACAGGCAAGGCAAGATAAGCCAAAACGAGACATGGCAAATCCCGAAGGTTACTCGACTAGACCCCACTTTGTCACATTGTCAAGGGCCAGAGACAAAGGCAATTGTGATTGACCATCGGCCAGCAGATGACGCCGAGTCGGCCCTCCTTGGGTTCGAGAACAGATGAAAGGCGTGTTTCGCTGCGTATAGATGACGGTTGGGGTTTTACAGTTCAAGGAAGCTCGTTGTCTTGATAGACGTCCAAGTTTAAGCTCAGGCGACACGACTCAAGAGATTCGAATACCTGATATGTCACTAGTAATTACTGCGCAGTATCCATACGGACAATCGACCAACCCACAGACCTGCCCCGCCTCTCCAGAGGCACCTCAGCAGATGCGCTCTCTTGGTGCGACGATGGTGGTGACTTCTGACGGCAAATTCCTTGATCGTCCCATCACAGTTCATACTTCCCGGAGGTGGACGCCCGAAGCATTGTAGTATCCCAGCCCCTGGTTTTGAACAGTACGCAGTCTTGTGCTTGCTGTCTTGCATAGCCCGCAACGGGTGTGCAAAGTTCAGTTCAGACGCCCAGTCGAACGACAATTGGGTTGGCACCGGGTCAGGATGAAGGCTACTCGCCGCATTACCGCAGGCTCTCCAGAAGCTCAAGTAAAACCGTGCGAGGTCTCATCGTGCCTACCGTCTCCGGCTCCCTCTGCAACGACGGAAAGCTATGTCAATACTTCGGTCTCCTAAGTCTAGGTCATCGGGGTTTATAACTTCGCCGTTGCCGTTGTCGAGGTTGTTGGTAGGCCAGACACACGACACCGCCGTCCCTGACAGAGACCGGAGGATTATCCTTTACCGTGACCCAGACCCGAGAAACGCTACTCGCCGGGCATTTCTTCCGAAACGCCAAACACCAGACGTCGAGTTCCCTGTCCGTCCCTGCCTGGCTATCTTACCAAGCATACGCTCTAGTTCTAGATCGCCCAATATCCGGTCTCCGGGGGAAGCGGTCCTAGTTGGACTGGTCGATCACGGTGACCCGTGCCGGAGTTCCTAGATCTTGAGATAACGCACAGGAACACTGTGATTTCACTCGGTACTGTTCGTGTACGCAGCACTTTGTATCCTGCAGAGACAACAACGCGGGCAGTCGGTCGCAAGGATCAGCAGGGACAGCGGACTGTAGTACTTTATCCGTCACAAGCCGACCCGACTTAACAAAGAATGCACCTACGAATACCGACCCTCATCCATAGAACGCAGGGTTGTGAAGCCGAAGCCTCAGTGAAAACCATCCCATCCCGCTACACCCCAGCGCACACATCCGTATTTCTTCGCTGACTGTTTCTTCTTGTGCTCCATTACCTATGAGCGAAATCATGACTGTTGCGAAGGCACGTGATCGGCCAGCCTCGCGTTAGGTACTTCAGAGACAGCACATTCATGCTCCTCGAAAACCCCCGCGGTACTGTGTATGTTTCCATCTTCACATAAATAATCACGTCCACTCTGTGATCAATCACCGGCATCGAATGCCCTCTTCATGCCCTCTTCATGCCCTATTCGCTGTGCAGGAATGCCGACACAAGAATTCTCCACGTAAGTATCCTAACCTTCATACTTTTGCAACTCAGGGCAACGCGGGCACCCCTTCTCGAGTCGACCCAAACCTGTGGAACAACCATCCTCCTGCGAAAGATTTAAGAAAAACCCGGCCGAGGCACAAACTGGAAAGGAAGAAAGAACCAGCGTACCAGACGTCGGCCGTGTAGTTAGTGGAGCAGCGCAAACCAATGAATGGCTCCCGGTCTCAGATGCCCATCTCTTCAATGCCTCGGCCGAAGAAGAAGAAGCAGCGTCAAGTAATTGCCCCCTCCTTCGATTTTTACCCCTCCACTCTCCTCGAATAATGCGTTGCGAGTGGCCATGTGGTTTTCCATGGGCAGTGCTCCATTTGCCTACGTTGGGAAGACTTTGGGTCTATGCTGTACGCTGCTTGGTTTGGCCGAATGCGAATCAGAGGGCCCAATCGAGGTAGACGAGAGGCTTGCAGGTTGCACTTGATACTCGATGCCGATCCTATGTCGCCAGGAACAAGTCCCGACATACATCCGTGTAATACTACGATGAACAGCTTGGACTACGTGTCAATTACCGAGGTCGAGACTTGTCATCTATTTGTTTCATTTGCTCCTCCCTCTTCGCGTCAGTTTACACTCTACCCGTAAATTCAACCAAACAACCCTTCGCAAGGAAGTAGCTGCTGTGGCCGACGGCCTTCATGAAGTACATAAACGTCTCTCCTGCCGGGTACGGATGATCCATCGGCCGAAGCTGCGGATCGATCCCCCGTTACTTTCCGGCTGACCAGTCAGGGTTGCTCCAGCTATGCCGGCCAATGTGCCGGGACCCCGGATGAAGCCATCTCAGTACGGCAATGCTTGCGGCCCTGCACCTGCATGTCGCTCTCCATATATCGGGTTTGCCCCTAGCGAATTAAATTGCTTGTCGCTCACGTTCAGGTACTCTCTATGAACTTGCTATTATGAATACTCACGTTGTCACAACCAGGTTCCTACTGGCACAGTGTCACTGTTGCTTGCACCTGTCCCTGACAACAAGGAGCATATCGCGTGAGCGGGCGACTTACAATATCCAACGTTAGAGACTTCAGCCGGTGGCTCAGCTTCTGTACGGCTCATGTACAACAATCTAGGCAGCGAAACTAGCAATGTTGATGTATCCGTATGCTGCTCTGGAGATATGACTGAGGGTAGAGCCTGTGGTCGGAACGGTACAACATCAATCAGTGTGCCTCGAAAAGCGTTGGTATCTTATTTTCCTTCTTCCCTTTTAACCTTCCCAATCCAGTGCCAAGGCACCTGTTCCCAGGCGTTACCCCTCGACCATGTCTATACAACGTTGACCCAAACTGTGTATGCAGGCTTTCTCGGTAAGCGGCTCCGTAGATGCACAGCCAGTCGCCAAACGCAGGGGGAACCGTCAAAATTTCCATACTGAGCACATGCGTGTCTTTCCCGCCTGCCCCTCCTCCCCCTGTCCTCCTCCGCGGCAGACAGCGCATATCAACAGGAACCGATCATCACAGGATTCACTAGCCCTCGAATAAGTTGGCCACGCCCTCAAGGCCATCTGGCGTGCCTTGCCTCGCTCCGGTGACCGCTCCGCTACGTGTAGCCGACTCATTCGCGGGCGTCATGAATTCTTGCGCCATCTTACTGCGATTTGATCTCTTGACTCGCCCGAAACTGCTGGTCTTGGGCAATTTTCCCTGCTCTGCAATGCTTATTCCCTTGAGATCTTTGAGAAGGTCAAGCACAAGTGCTCTTTGCTGGCGTGTGTGGGATGCTGGCTTCGACGCAAAATCGTTCAGCTTTTCGAGATCAGCTACTTTGATGTTGGGTAGCGAAAGGAGGACGTCTCTGGGCGTGCTAGTCGAGGGGCTGTAATAAACCACTATGGAGGCAATTAATGAGGCCAGGTCCTTCTGAAGGTCTACGAAGTAGGGCTCATGGAATGAGTTGATGCAAGCTTGGAGCACTTCCGATGAGATGTACTCCCTGATCGCGGAAGCTGCTTCGGAGGAAATTGGCGTCGGGTCAAGAGAAGAATCCTTGCCGCTGGGAGTGGAGTTATGGCCCTCGTGCGCAGGTACAGATTTTGGCGAGATCGGTTCCGACTGATGGAAGTCTGGAACAATAGATCGAAATACCCGCAAAATTATGCTACAGCATCGCGTGTCTCTCATCCGGATTGCGTGAGTGCAGAAGAGAAGGAGCGGCTCCACAATCGTAGACTGCATCAAGCAAAATTTCCTCAATGACGGATACCTGCGAGGTGGCTCGTGATCATTTTGTGATCTTAGTAACGGAGGGTCTGAGTTCAATGTTAGTACTCCATACCGGGATAGCAATGCAGAAATACCGCCGAAAAGCCTTAGACTGCATCTCCAAGCCGAGGTTCGGAACGCGTGGGCAACTCTAAGCGGGGATGTCTCAAGCAAACTGAACCAAGTGGTTCAGAGGAGATTGCAGGAGACTGGAACACATGGCTGAATGAAGAAACGACAGAGAGAGGCGAATCATGAGAGGTGGAAAGACACCACTTACTTCTCTTAGTGGGATCCAGGAAATCCGCCACCATGATCACGGCAGTGTAAGTGACCTGGCGCAAGATGCTTTCCGATTTCATCTCCTCAGTAAGCGCATCCCCAGCAGCGTCAATTGCTTGTTGGCGCTCCAGCTTCTCCCACTCCGAGTTGATCTTTGCATCCATCTGTTGGAAGCAAGCTGCAAGGAGTGGGGGAAGGAAGTGCTCACGTTGCTCTAGTGGACAATCGTCCACCAGATAACGCACGAGATTCAGCAGGTTGATCTGCTGATGTGCAGAGAGATAGAAAGAATTTTGGAAAAGCGCTTGTGCAAGGGGGTTCGGCAGTTCGCTGAAGCCATAGAACTGCATCTCCAAACGGCTCATGCAGTAGATAATGGCATAGCATGTTTCTCGTACGAACCTCACGCTTCCTCTTATCGTCGAGGCGAGCCCTTCGAGAGTGTGTTTCTTGTCCATGACGCGGGCATAGAATTCATCTTTGCTGCCCTCAGAAATTCCCGCCTGCCAAAAACGATCACTGAGAACGCCGCCAACAACAGACCGCATTTCAGGGGGCAGTTCTGTCCAATTATCTGGATTGTGCGAGGCGTGGGCATGGCTGTAGGCTTGGTCAGTGGGCTGAGCTTGAGGGACGACTGAAAATCTCACCTGAGAAATTGCAGAAGGTCGGGTAAGATGATTGGAAAGCTATCATTCCACAAACGATACGAGATTTGGAAGGGCGCTGAAGACTTCTCGAGCTTCTCTACGGAGAAAGAAAGAAATGATTTTGTTGGGCGAAGAGGCAACACCTGTCGTCAGGTCAGTCAATGATACCTCAAACAGGCAACTTTGTCTTTACCTTCTGTCTCTCCTCTAACTCACTCTGGAGGGCCAGACCCTCTGCATCCAGCTCGCTAGAGCCCCAATCCTTGACTTCATGGACGCGACGGCTCATGAGGTATCGCTTGGCTTTGTCCAGGGCCATCAATTCGCAAAAGCCCGAGTACGATGACAGGGCACTTTTCAATTCGTGGTTTTGCCATAGGCTTGTGACTGGCTTGATGAATCCCTGCAAACGCTCAAACTGTGTAGAAGGGTCAATATTGGTGGCTCGGTGAATGATGATGAAGAGAAAGCTCTGGTAAGCAATTTGTCGTTTCTCGTCTAAGCTTCCCGAGGAAATCATGTCGTTAACCTTCGCCTCTATCTGATCATATACGCCTAGCAGGTGGTCAGGGACCTTTGAGGCTAGTCGCTGCAGCTCAACCATGCTTTCGGACTGGAAATCCTTGATCGCCTCGTTAAAGGCTCGGTGCTCTGGGCGAGGAGCAGGCCATGTCATGAGAATGTGTTCGAGGACTTTGAGCATGAATCCTGGATTCCTGTCGAGAGCTGTGGTAGAGAAAGCAACCAGCAATTGTAGCACTCTCTTCCGAATCAGAGGGTCCTCAAAGTTCATTTCGAGGAGTTTGCTGCACCAGGACTCCAGATCTCTCTCTAGAGCAGCGCGCTGTTGTTCCTGTCATCTATTAGCTGAGTGTCGTCTTTCCCAAGACTATTTACTCACGTAGTCTGGCATGCTCTGTTGAGTCGTGCTTGCTCTCCACTTCATGTAGCCTTTCAGCGCCGCCTCGATGACTGTGAATTGTGCGTCAACGCGCAGAACAGGCATTGAATGCTTGATGTACTTGGACACTACAAAAATTAGCCGTCCCATTTCCGTCAAAGTAATTCAGATACATATATTAACGTACCATCCATCGGTGGGTGACCGTCATATAGATGCTGCAAGACTTGCTCGGCTTGGCCAAGAATATGGTAAACCGCGTCGGAAAGCTTCAGTTGTACAATTGTTTCAATGACCTGTGTGCTGAACCTTCTGTAATTGCCGAGAAAAGCATGTCGTTCCGGGACGGTATCAGTATCTTCCATCAGGAAGAGGAAGGTTGGGTCTTGAGTGTCTTCCGGCAGGTTCTCAAAACGGATTAGGCGGGAACCACAGACCTCGAGCAGTGGCCCGACGAGATGAGTATTGGCTGGGCTCTGTCCGATGAGCCTGTTGTTGAGTAGCCGCGTCCACGTAGCTAATACGGGTATGGCGATGATCAGACTTGGGCTTTGCACCGTTAGAAGCAGCAAATTGAGGAACCCGTCTACGTCCGAAGTCGTCGGGATCGCGGAAAATCTTCGGTCGAGATAGTTGCCCAAGAGGGACAGCATCTACACCATATCAGTAAATGTAATCTAATCATCTCAGACAAAGACTTGCCTCGGAAAACTTTTTACCGAATTGGTATTTGTCCTCATCAATGTCGTCCACGTCAACAGCCGACCACTCGAAGAGCCTCTTCAAGAGGTCTACTGAGCTGGCATCATACATGGGTGCAACGAGATCCTTAAACTCTTGTTCGGTGAAGTTTGACCGGGAGTAAAGTGCATGTAAGGCCTCCAGAGATGCCTATTGCTAGTTAGCTGTCCCATATTCTCTTCCTCTCGAGTGTGCGTAATCATGCAGCGTTCAAGTACCTTCTGAATAGACACTTCGGGTGTCGCAAGGGCTCTGCACATGACAGGCACGCAATTGGCCACGGCAACAGCCTTGGGTATGGCCCAGGGCATCAGAGAGTGGAAAACGGACAAGGATTTGACGGCACAAGACCGAACTTGGTCGTTGTTCTGAGCATCCCCTTGAAGGCACTGACTGAGAAATTCGGATACCCGGCTTAGCCAACCTTCTTCCCCATATCGCACCTCGGGGCCAGCAGTCCTGTTCGGGAAAGCCTCTCTGAGGACTGTGGCCGGAGTAAAAATCTCGACACAGCTCCTGCTGAGCACTCCTTCGCGCATGGCGACCACGGCATCGTCGCCATTGAAGACTTCGTCGGAGAGTGTCTCTAAGACGAACAGAACGAGCTCTTTGTGAACAGCAGAATCAGGAATTTGCCATAAGCGAAGCAAAAGCTCATCCATGTCCATCCACTCGGCGCCCCATGATCTCTTGCCAACTTCAACCCATAATTGAGCCGTCTTATTTCTGATATATAGGGGATCGTCCTTCGACAGGCTGCGGCAGAGCTCCAGCATCCAACCACGGAGAGTAGAAGACTGTTGCTCGCTATAGTCGGCCCACCTGTGCTTGATCGCATGCTCAAGAAGGGAAAGGGCATAATGGCGCACAACGGGTGACTGGGACTTGTCGGAGGCAAGGGTAAAACCGTGGAATGGAGCTTCGTCTATGCCCTTGATGTTTTCGAGGAAGGCCTGCGCGTCTCGACGGGAGTCATTGGGCGAGTAAGGGTTGTGTATAGCCTCGAGGGCCTGGTGGATCTGTGATATTATGTCGGAATTCGCGCCGTTCACGGAGGTGGTATTCTGACCCAAGCCGGCCGCGCCATTGGCGGCCTGTCCGTCCATGACAGCTGGAGTGGTCGACAGTAGGGTAGGCAGACGCCTGCAGAAGCTGCTTCTTCAGCAGATGAATTGGTCTTGGTTCATACGGCGGATGTTGTACAGGCCAGACTCGGAAGGTGGAGGACGAGGAAGTGGTGGGAGAATGCGATATCGAGGGAATGCAGGTTTCGGTGAGAGTGCTGCCCAAGACGCGAAATGCGGCAGTTAGCGAAGGTTGAGAGTGGTGTAGAAAGGGTCGGGCGGCGTGGACAAGGCGCGGACACAGAACCAAGGCATGAGCCTTGCAGCGCGAGTGAGTGTAACTTACCTTGGGCAGATAAGGGCGTCTTCAAAGGCACCCAGACAGACTAGTTTTGTTCTCCGCGTTCCTCAATGCCAGCTTCGCCCGACTTTTGCTCACTGCCGTTGATAGGCGCTTGATGGGAGAGACAGGTTCGAGCGAATGTGACAGCAAACCAGGTTAGACGGAAAAGAGAGAAGCAGTATATGCCTCTGCCAGTGGAAACAAGCGCGGACAATCGAACCGACTGGCGAGGCAGGAATACCGGAAGTTGCAAGAATATGGAGTAGATGCAGTAGCAATAGCGACAGCAGCGAACATGCTTTGCATCATCAAAAACCAGGCCAGGCCAACAGTGCAACGCAGAGCACCTCAGGTAGGTACCTAGTGTACCTACCACCCGTAGCGGATGAGGATTGTTAGGTGCCTTAGCGGAGTCGCGTTGGCGGGCCGGGGCACCAGTGCGAACCGTGTGCACTAAGGTACGTGGTGCCTATCCGTAGGCACCTCAGGCGATATACTAGGTATGGTGGGTAGGTGGGGCAGCTTCCATTGATTACATAAGGTATCTAGGTAAGGTGAGAAATGCACACCAGCATTGCAGTGGAGACGTCTAGGTAGGTAGGTAGGTTCGGCCCAAAGCCTGGCCTCTGAGACCTTTTTCTTCTTTTTTTTTTTTTCCCCCTTCTCACGTACCCAGTTGAATATCCGGTAAAGTTAATTACCCTGGGACCTGCATCGCGTTGACCCGTCGTGCTTCTCTCTTCAGGACTTCCTCTATTGAGTCCGCTTTGCCAGGTTAGGCATATCAAGGCAAGGCCGTCTCCCACAGACACAACCTCTTATCGTAGAAGCTCGTCGACACACAAATCAAACGCCCGTCCTCAGAGACTGGAACGGAGTCACTGCCATAGTTCATGCTCTGGTGCTCATCAAATCTTGCGAGAACCCCAATCTCCCAGTCCCCGCCGTGCAGAGGCCCCTCGAGCTCTACAACTTTTGCACCGGCGTGCATACAAGAGGCTAGGATCCTGGCGCGACAATGTCCAGCATCCTCTCGGATATCGATCAATTTCAGCCTCCAGACGCCACCTCCTAGGTTCTTCTCGCCCAGATGCTGAAACTTGCGAAGGCCATACGTCTCGTGTGGAGGTTGTATAGCAAGAATTCGCATCGAATCATCGTAGCTTCCCGTGACCACAATTCTCGCACCGTCTGCTAAACGCACCGGAATTGGAAGGATGGCTGTCACCCCGGCGCCATGGCCGCTGATGTTAAGTGGAGGATATTGGAGGCTCACCGCCGCATCTGAGTCTTCACCCCCAGACTTCTTGTCCGCGCATGATGCATATCGCAAAACAGAGTCATCCCCACCCGAGTACACGATGAACGGGTCGCTCTGGGCATCACCGCCTGCAACACCAAGCTGGCTTTCATTTGGCTCTGGCGGACAAATTGCCACCGTCCAGGCCTCCAAAGAGTGCGTCATGACAGTAGTGACATTTCCCTCGATGATTTGCCATGCATCGTCGAGACGTACGACTCGCACTTCACCTGCGGATGTTGTGAGAGCAATCAATGAAGGATCATGGGGACTCCATACACCCGAAAGGAAGAGAACCCCTTCAGGAGTGTTGGCGATCCTGCTTGTCGCCAAGTGCCTCAACGGCTCAGATGCATCTATGCCTGGATCCAAACGAAAGATAGACAGCGTACCGGTGCTGGAGACGACAGCCAGGATATCCTGCGCACCAGACAGGGGGCAGAAGTGGAGGTCCAAGATTGCCGAAGGATGGGAGATAGTTTGGACGTGATGTCTAGGAGGGTCAGATAAGTGGCGTGGCTGCGTGTTTCTGAATGACTTACACGGCTCCGTTGTCAAGTCGGAAGATGATGAGACTGCCACTGCGATTTTGCAGTTTCTTTCCGGTCAAGGCCTCGTTGTCTTCCGACTCCGTATAGCCTGGCCCGTCCTTGATGAGGTTGTACGTGCCGACAACAAAGTATGTCGGGTGCGAGGGGCACCATTCTATGCAGCTTGGAGGGAGGTCCAAAGTGAGGGTTTGCGTTGACGCAACACTACTGTTGGGCTCGGCCATTTTCTTGTTCTTCTTTCTCACAATGTGTCAAGTATGGTTCCCTGAGTTTTTGTTATTATATCGAAGAAAAGCAAGGGAGGGAATGGGGACGAGGTTAGAAAAAGAAAGGACAGGGGAAAAGAAAAAGAAGGGCAAGAGACCATCCGCTCGTGGTTCGCTTGCTCTGTAGCCAGGAGTAATTGGCAGATTTGTGTGAAGATTCGCTGTGGTCAATAAGCACCTAGGAGGAAGGAGGGCCTAATCCTACCTGGGTAGGTCTAAGGTAAGGTACCTACACCTATCCCACGGTCTTAAAGGTTAGCGTAGTACTTGCGGGGCTTCGTTATGTGGAAAGCCCCGCAAGAACCGCACTAACCTTTAAGACCGTGGGATAGGTGTAGGTTCCCGACCCACCTACCCATGGCCACTCCCGGCCGCCGGTCGTTGCGTTCCGGGAAACACGGAAGGATCCCGCTTCTCATCCACAGATTGCGTGCCGGAATTGGCGCCGCGAAGTCGGATCGGCTCCTCCAACCCTCCCAGAAATGGTGGTATCAGACCAGCCTCCCTTCTTGGAGAACATTTCACAGTCTTATCCCACCTTCGTCGACCCCTTCTATTGCTTCCAGTTCTCCGTGACAGCGTTAGGGGAGAGCATTGATTACCTTGAGGTACATGAATGGTCACCGCATTTGAGAAACCGTCGATTCGCCCGAAGGAGCACCTTTCTCCCTGGCCTCGCCTGAGTATATGCCATAAAACACCCACTACCATACAACTCTATGCCCTTCAGACCCTTTGTCGAAATACTGCCGTTTCGCACTTTGCTTCGAAGCCCCCGCCTGCGAAGCAGCGATGGACTCGGAGGAGTCGGACTTCTACGGTTCGTGCCGAGGCCCTGATAGTGCCTGGGACTGACTGTTTGCCAGGAGACGAGGATATTATTGAAGGGCTGGAGGCCCGCGTCAATTCTTTCAATGTCGCCCAATGGTGGGAGGAGACAAGGGCGGTCCAACTCAACCGGAAAGCCAAGGCGGAGCCGGCCGACAGCACCAAGCTACATAACCCATACGCAGGTGTACCTTATGCGTGGCAACTAACCGAGACCCTCAGTGATTTCCTCAATCGCCTTCCTCCCGAGACAACTGAGGGCACTGCCGACGTTCCCTGGATTTTCATCTGTAACCCGTTCATTCCTCGGAAGAGCAGGTTTCTCGCACAAAACCAATTCAGCAGAGGCAATGAGGATGAAGCTCCAGAAGAGGATGGATCACAGCTCAACACCCTAATTGAAGGAGGCACCGAGAGGTTGCGCATTCTGGGCAACTTTGTGGACGGCATCCACAGGACGAAAAAGTCTGCGACAGCAAAGCTGTCAGAGATCAACCACGAGAAGAAGCAGGCAGTCAAGGACGTCCTGTCTCTCGCGCACGCGTGCAAAGTTAGATCTGGGAAGGCAAGCAACCTGTGCTTTCCCGTTTCATCAGACAAAACTGCTGACAAACAACTTCAATGAACAGTGGCTTCTTTTTTGTTCGCCCCGAGACGTGAATGAGGTATGGGCAATCATTGCCAGGGCCACGGCAAACAACGAGCTTGGCATCGCTGCTAAAGTGGCACCGCGACAAGACGCAACCGGCCGCAAAGATCGAATGATTGCTGTTTACACTGCCGATTTCAACGATGTCACAGACGTGATGAGGGTGTTGCGTCGGCTCCGGGAGCTGAAAGTAGTGGAGGCGATGGGACGACCTATCTATTATAAGCCGGGTTTGTCGCATCAATTACCCCTTCTCTTCCAGTTATGCGGTGCTGACATGTCGTAGACGCCTTTACATACATTGGGGTTGCCCACGGCAACCAGTGGGATATCAGAGCATCCATTCACAGTTCTCTAGATATCATGCCCAAGCAATAATCTTAATGGGGGGAGTAATGAACAGATTGACCTTGCGCAATCTTCGAAGACGATCCTTGAAGACTACACAGAGCGATCCTAAGAAAAGTGTGAAGACCTATGGGCAATCATGATAGACTGTTCTCGAGCGGTCGTGGTATATTAGTTGCGTTTACAATTCTGAAACCTACCGTCTTGCAATTCGAACCCGTGACTATGAATATTGTGAGCAGGAGCTCTTCGTATGTCTTGCCATGCACACCAGAACCATTTGAATACAGCCATACCCTCGCTACATTGTGAATGCTACCACCGCACGTTTCGAACAAATGCATGCTTTCGTTTCCAAGCCACCGCTGTGCCGCCTACCATGGTCTACCCCGAACCTTCGCCACCAGTATCCATCCATGTCCACTCATGACCAACGTCGCTCTATGCTGTGGCTGTCCCATCTAACCAATGGATGCCCCCCATGCGGAGGGAAAGAAGAAATCGTCACAGCCACGCCAGCAGCAGCTGAAGCTAGCTGTAACGTGTGCGCGAGCCATGTATATTTGTCTTGATAACATTGCAAAACGTGGCAACCAGTTGTGGCGAGCTGAAGTCCGTTCCTCCCAGTCAAGCATAGTGGCTGTCAAAGTCCTCGATAACGGCGTCAGGGTCAATGGACTTGAGAAGCAGGACCAAACGGTAGGCGCTGTTGCCGTTGAGATAATATCTGTGCAATTTCTTTGAGCGCAAGAAACCCAGGCGCTCGTATAGACGCATAGCCTGGGTATTTGTCTCTTCCGTTTCCAGAACAATCTCATCGGCATTACGATCGGCCATGGCATCAATGGCACGTTTCACGAGGGCAGTGGCAATGCCTTTGCCTCGGAATGGCGAAGCGACAGCGAGCATGGCAATGTAACCTCGGCGCGTCGGTGGTGAGTGAGATGAGTGAAGCTCCAACTTGCAGACAATGACGCCGATGAGGGATGAGTCGACTGGATTCAGAGCCTGGGCAGCAATTAGTGTCAATCGGAGGAGTGGTTATTTGTCAAGACAGATGCGGACCATGAAGCACAAGTGCCCCCATTGGTAGAGGAAATACCGATAGACATAGATGCTGTACGGTTCGCTCAAATCCTTTGCGATCAGAGAACGTATGGCGGGTAGGTACTTCGCTTCCAGACCATGCTCATACTGTATATAATGCAAGTCTCCCGGGGGGATGCTGATTTTGGAAGCATCCATGGTGCATCTATCGGCAGTCCCTGGGGGAGATGGGGGCGTTGATGAACAATGGGCCGGAAGAAATGAGGACGGAAAACTTCGGGGGTCGAACTCGGACCAGCAAATGCGCAGATATGCTCAACTCATGACAAGACGATGGGGTAGAGACTGAAAACGACGGGGAAATCGCTTCGGATTAATGCTGCGATTACGGAGAAAGAAGCGGCACTGCCGCGCGCGAGGAACGAAGAGGATCTAGCGGCCGATTCGTACGACACGGTCGCGAATTGTGCGTTTGCAGGTTGACTTGATTTGAGTTGACTGGCGGCGTGGGAGGGTAGGTGAGACTACGTCGGGCGTTGTCTTGAAGTGCTTCCTCAGAGTTGAGGTCAGCCAGGCAGGGTAAGGTAAGGCGACGCGACTCCAGCCCGTTGCGGAGGCCAAGTAGGGCGGGTGACAACTCACTCCTGGGTAGGGACAGCGGCGCGGTCGAGGCCTGCATGCCCCGTGCACCCAACTTGGTGGAGCTCTGGATGCTGAAGTGCCTCGAGTAAGTACACTACCTAGGTAAGGGAAGATAGATAGGTAACGTTGAACTAATCGTGCCTTTACCATAATATTTAACCCAGACTGTCAGCCATTTCTTCCGTGGGTGTTTGGGTGCTTTTCATGCAATGCACCCAGCCTGCAACATTGTCGCTCTCCCGTCCATGTTGCGTAAAGTCGGCCCGGACCACTATCACATGCTAAACGAGCGGTAGCGCATTTGCAAACGAATTGCTTTCTGAAGCTTCGGGGGCTGCCACCAGCAGTCAGTCATAAGGCCTTTCTTGCGCAGCCTTAGCTACCTTGTTGGTTTTCATTTGGAGGGGTTCCCCCCCCCCCCCCCCCCCCCCTTCCCCCTCCTCTATCATTTTTGGGGTCTTGTGCATCCTGTTGTCCCGCTCTCGTCAAGAAAGGTGGTCTACCAACCATCGTACTGTACCTTAAGACAGTGTGAAGAGTGGGTTGGAGAAGACGGCCGATACATGCGCCGCAAGGAGTCCTCAAAATAAACCTACTCTAGCAAACGTGAGAGATCTCGTCTGACCTTTGGCAATGGAAGGTGTCTATTAAGTACATATGTGCCTATGATTGGTAGGACCTCTGAGAGACAAAAGTCTGAAATTGTTACACCTGGCTTTCAAGTGCCGCATTTTAAGCAGTGCCTGATGAAAACACAACGCCCGGGCCACTGGCAACCATGTGGCCCGCCCAGATTGACGTCACGTTGATACCTTAGCTATCGACGTCTTACTAGCCCTGCCCTGTGCCCTCTGACCTCCCTCCTGGGCATCTTACCGTGGCCGAGGCTACCTACCTACGTACCGTTTTGAGGCCCTGGACATTTTTACTTCACCTCCATTAGAAGCGTTCCCATTAGCGTCGGGACACCCCTCGTCCCACTCAACCGATAACCCAGGTGCGTGGCTTGCGCAGAATAAGCTTTCCGCAACTCTCGGCCACGCTCTGTGCCTTCCACCCCGTTACCCCGACGGTCCGCCTGCCTCGTTGAGTTCTGACCTGCCGCTTAGGCATCACGAGCACCGCGTTCCGCGACGAATAAGTATTGAACCCTTCTCCCTCGAGCACACCGGCGCCCTGCATCCCGGGCCACATGTTGGGCACCCCAACTCCTCCCTCTGCGCTGCTGTACACCATCTGTCGCTTCAAATCTCTCGACGGCGCAAGCTGACCTTACAGTCATTAGATTTCTCAGGTCAGTCGCAGGCGATTGCGACCGTGATCATGTCTGCGTCTACTCTCAGGCGGCGTGCCGTCCCCGCCGATCCTCAGACCGAGAGCGAGTCCTCTACACCCCGAGATGAGAGTCCCGACAAGTCCGAGAAACACGTCCACGTCGTCCAACACTTGAAGCCAAAGACAAGAAAGCGCCGCAACACCGCCATTTTCCTTCTCGGAAGCTTGTTCGGCATTATAGCTGCCGGCTTTTTTGCCAAAAGCAATGACCTCATCGACTTCCCTGAGCTGGGCGAGCTCAGCATGGACAGCTTATTCGACGTCTTACCCGCCGGTTTAGTCAAGGACATGCGCGATCTAGTGGTCAGTAATGCTTCAATCACAAGCTTGAAAGAAGTTTAGGTTCCAGCTGGACTGAACTAATGCGGCTTCTCTTAAAGCAAGGCGAGCGCGAGTTCGTCGATAGCTACGACGCTTTCTCAGTGGGTTTGCAGGCCCGCGCCGAAGGCCTCCACGCACACCACCCCATGATTATGGTCCCGGGCGTTATTTCAACAGGTCTCGAATCGTGGGGCACCACCAATGTTTCACGCCCGTACTTCCGCAAGCGCCTCTGGGGCAGCTGGAGCATGATGCGTGCCTTGGTTTTGGACAAGGAGAATTGGAAGAGACACCTCATGTTGGATCAAGAAACAGGCCTTGATCCCCCGCATATCAAGTTACGGGCTGCCCAAGGCTTCGATGCAACTGATTTCTTCATTACGGGATATTGGATTTGGAACAAGATTTTCGAAAATCTTGCGTCCATAGGCTACGATCCAACTAATTCCTTCACCGCCGCTTACGATTGGCGGCTGGCATATCCGAACCTCGAGACCCGGGACCAGTATTTTACGAGGCTCAAGTCCTACATCGAAACCGCCCATGAATTCTCGGGGAAAAAGGCGGTTCTCGTGTCGCACAGCATGGGCGGGCAAGTTCTCTTCTACTTCTTCCACTGGGTTGCATCCGAGACAGGTGGCCGCGGTGGCGATGACTGGGTCGAGAGGCACGTAGAGGCGTGGATTAATGTTAGTGGCTGCATGCTTGGCGCTGTCAAGGATTTGACGGCAGTACTGTCTGGCGAGATGCGAGATACGGCGCAGCTCAATGCTTTTGCTGTCTATGGCCTCGAAAAGTTTCTGAGCAAAGATGAGCGGGCGCAACTATTCCGTGCCATGCCCGGGATATCTTCCATGCTTCCCATCGGAGGGGATGCGGTATGGGGTAATTCCACCTGGGCTCCCGATGATCAGCCCGGGCAGGACTTCTCCTTCGGATCACTGCTCAACTTCCGCAGCGGCATGAACTGGACCACGCCCGACCGTAACTTGACGGTCGAATCGGCCATGGAATACCTATACAACGCGACGGAGGAGTGGTACCAAAAACACATCAAGACAAGTTACTCGCACGGAATCGCGCACACAGAGGCGGAAGTCGAGGCGAACGAGAAGGATCCCCGCAAGTGGATTAACCCTTTGGAAACGCGGCTTCCACTGGCGCCGAGCATGAAGATTTACTGTTTCTATGGCGTTGGCAAGCCCACTGAACGAGGATACTATTATCGGTCTCCAGAGATGCCATCTCTCACGAACCTGAACATCACCATCGACACAGCTTTCACCCAAGGACAAGTCGACCACGGCGTTGTCATGGGCGAGGGAGATGGTACTGTCAACTTGATCAGTACGGGCTACATGTGCAATCGTGGCTGGAACTACAAGCGATATAATCCGGCCGGGTCCAAGGTCACTGTGGTAGAGATGGAGCATGAACCGGAACGATTCAATCCCAGAGGTGGACCCAAGACGGCAGACCACGTAGACATTCTCGGGCGGCAGCACTTGAACGAGTTGATTTTGAGAATTGCAGCGGGCAAGGGGAACACGATTTCTGACTACGTTGTGAGCAACATATTGGAGTATGCGGATAAGGTAAAGGTCTACGACGAGGACAAGCAGCCCGAGGAAGAGGAGGAATAGCATGTTACCCGAAAGCAAAGCTATTGAGGCAGACAGTAGCAACAGTTTGTGATTTTGGTTAGGGGCGTTCTGGCGAATTGCAGGTGTCGGAGGGATTTGGCGATGGTCATGGCATGATAATACCCTTTTCGGTCAACTGTGTTACTGAGAACATTTACTACTTAAACATACAAATAGAGTCCACATCATCGACACCGGTAATAACATTAGAAAGAAGAATTAAATAAGCAGAAAAGGAATTTCTTTGTGTCCGGCCACGGCTGTGGGCATCATTACCATTGGCCCTGTTTTCCATCTCCCAACGAAGAGATGCAATACAATCGCTTCGACTAGAGCCGATTGCTCCGAATTGATGTATCCCAGGCATAGTCATTGCAGGTCAAGTCGGGCGAGTCGAAACTGGGAAGGACGGCGGGGACGTTGAGTCACGCCCTGTAGCTGTCCAACCGTGTGCAGCAGACTCAGCAGACACCGCACAGCAAGCAGTTGACTATGAAGGTACCTGTTGGTGGATACCTTAAGGTGCTCACCATTCCAACCCCTCACGCTCTGAGTAAACCTGGAAGCAAGGAACGCATTCCCCTCCATTTCCCCCACTCTGAGCCCGGCACCTACCTTCCCCACTGCACGGGGCACCCGAACAACGTGGACCAACTCGCCATCCTCTACTAGGTACATACCTTACCTACCTACCTACCTATCTACCTACCTAATCTCACGGGCTACATACCTAGGCTGACCAGGTGGTGCCCTCGTGCAGTGGAGAGGGGCTTTGCTGTCAAGCCAGACCATGCCTTGTGTGTATCAACCCTCCAGAGTCGAAACTCCAGCCGGCTTCATCTCCCTCCCACAAAATCCTTCGTTGCAGTCGCAACTCGACACGCCCTGCGTCAGTTATGCAGACCATTTTGGGCACCAAACTTTGGCGATAATACCACCATGGCGGATTTCGACGTGTACGAGTCTCTTGAGACCCGGCAGCAGTTCTGGGAAGGTCAGTCGCCCTCGTGCGCCGTCTTCGCTTTGTCTTCGTCCCTTTCCTCAATGCCTTCACGATTTTTTTTATTTTTTTTCGATTTCCACGGAGCCTGCCGACTGACCGCCTGCATTATTTTACCAACAACAGAGCTTGACGATGTCGTGACCACCCAATACCAATCGCACGATCTGATTGACGAGACGCTTAGAGCCTGGCTGCACCTTGCCTCAAGATTCAGGGATAAGTTCTACGATGCCGAGGACGATGTCGCCGTCTGCTGCGATAAGCTCCTCTCCAGCCATCTGTTTCGAGAGAATAAAGAATACATTCGCACCCAGATCGTGTACAGCCTTCTTCAAGAAGATGACACGGCATCACTTCACGTCATCGCCCTCTTCCTCCTCCTCGATGGCCAATCCGACGAGTCAACGTTCTCCCGCATGATTGAGGAAGCCTGCTTTCCACGGCTGCTCGAGCTCATCAATGGGCGCAAAGAACAGGACCCGAGACTACACCGTCTGTTGCTGGAGCTAATGTACGAGATGTCTCGTATCGAGCGACTGCGTGCTGCCGACTTAATGCAAGTCGACGATGGCTTCATTGCCTACCTATTCCAAATTATCGAGGAGCTGTCTAACGATGTCCACGATCCGTACCATTATCCCATCATACGCGTCTTGGTAGGTGCATACCCATTCGCGCTCATCTCCCACCCGCTGGAGCTTGCAGGCTGACAACGCGATAGCTTGTCTTGAATGAGCAGTACATGCTAGCATCCACCGACGTCGCCGCTGACCCGACATCTCCCACTGCACCCCTTACAAACAGAGTCATCAAGTGTCTCAGCATCCACGGAGCTTTGTTCCGAACATTCGGAGAGAACATTATTCTGCTGCTGAATCGTGAGACAGAGACCTCACTCCAGCTCCTGATACTCAAGCTTTTATACCTTCTTTTTACTACCAAAGCCACCTATGAGTACTTTTATACGAACGACCTGAAAGTCTTGCTCGATGTCATCATCAGGAATCTTATGGATCTTCCAGACGAAAAAATATCCCTCCGCCACACATACCTCCGCGTTTTGTATCCACTGCTGGCGCACACACAGCTAAGCCATCCACCACATTACAAACGAGACGAGGTGATCAAAGTCTTGAGGATCCTGGGCGGACTGGGCAACCCCCATTTCGCGCCTGCCGACGAAACAACAGTTAGGCTGGTAGATCGTGTTTCCAAGGTGAAGTGGCTGGGCGACCAGGAAGCTTCCGGCGAAGCGGAGGTAGCTCGAAAGTTCCTGGGCATCAGTCTGTCTAGATCGGAGACGGCGAGCAGCGTTAGTGTTGTCGATGTGGCGGCCGTTATGGAGAAGCCCGGAGTCATCACCCCGAGTCGTAAGGCCGAGGCCGGCATGGAAGCCAAGGGGGAAGGAACGAAGGCGAGCGCAAGCACGGCGCGGCAAAAGAAGCCACTCCCGGAGGTGCCCAAACACAGGCACGGCACCCCCGTTGGACCGACCGCGACCTTGCATTTAAACGGACACAAGAAGATACCGCCCAAGGCACCCCCGCCACGTCGGAGGACGAAACTCAAGCCCATTGAGCCTACCGCAGACGATGCTCTAAGTACAGACTCGTGATTGACACCACGAGCCGGAGACAACAAATTGGTCCTGGCGACCGTGTAGTTAGTATGAGACCATGACCGGCGTCGGCGTTTGTTCGATTTTGAAAGCAGCGAAGCTGCAGGTAAGGGAGGGTGCATTGCAACTTCGAACTCGTTGTTGGCGTATAGCGTTCGGGTTCAAAGTTACGGCATAGCAGGGCGTTTCGGTTCCTAGAGGCAACACCGTCTTTCATTGGAAAGAGGTTAGGAAGCTCAGTAGCCTACGTTATTCTAGCAATTGCTGAATTCATATCATTGGCAAAACATACTACGCCTTGCTGATGTGACTTGAAATCGGCGTGGAGTATTCATGCGTCGCTCTGAACCGCCACGGCCCCATAAGGGAGGAGGGGGAAGACGGGCTAGATAGGCGCGTGAACATGAGATGAACATTATCTCTCTCCCGATAGTATGCAGGGTGAAACCTTGGACATAATTCAAGACCGGTAGGTGACAGAAGTGGGCTATTCAACGCCAAGAAGTATTCAACAGCTTGCCCGACAAAAGATATATATTGCAAAGCGACGCAAGCCAGAATCAAGGCTATATCTGTAAGTTGGGGGGAAGAGCTCCTGCGATCCAATCAGATGAAACGCACCCTCGGAAACGATAGGTTTACCACGAATGCGCCACCGGGTATTGGTCCAGGTGACTGAACAAAGCGATTGAGCACACTGGCTAGCTGACTGAACAGGCACACAGGCTACTAGAAGGCGCAGAATATCCTGGCGAGGTCCACATGTCTGGGCTTTCACCAGTTGGTTGGTGACGTCGCAGAGGTGATGATGGGCACCTGGCATTTTGGATGATTCCGACCTCTGGTATTCTTCTAGTGTTCTGTTGGCCTAATCGGTCAGAACGGATAACAGGGGTCTGCTACGCTTTGGTTAGTTCGGCCTAGACTGATTTGATGCAGAAATCCAAGCACGGCTTCGACAAGATTTCCTTATTATGGTTCGTGATGAGCATACACGCTGTTTCACAAACCTGCTATGTAGACACAGATACAAGCGCTCGAGGAGACAGGGAGGGTGTCGATGAGGTTGCAGCGAGTATCCGCTGCTGTGGTTGTGATTACGTCGTGGGGAGGGGGTGGGGGGCTTCGAGCCGGGGGCACATACGTCATCGTGTGGCCGAACTGCAACGAGGAGCTTCTTGGCTTCTTGTTTGCGATCAGTTCGAATGTCGCACGAACAGGCCACACAGGTCGCAGGTCATCCGCGCAACCGCGGCACAATGTACACCACTCATCTACGTATCTAGGAAACGAGGGATATCGGCTGGTCCGTGAACGCGAACTTCTCCAACCGAGTAAAATGGCAGAGTTCTAGTGTCGTAGTCAACAGTGCGGGGCGGAGGCGCATGTACAACGAAAAGGTCGAAGCGAAGCTTTCCACCAGACAGAGAACCCTCCATGGCATGGCGGGGGATAATGAAACAAAATTCCACGACCAAATTCGTATGTACTTGGACCCTTGAGCAAGAGGCGAGACAGCGGAATTGAATTGCAGGATGCCCGTCTCGAATGAGTATTGCAGTATTAGTACTGTAGATGTTTAGGATGAGGCATGAAGGGCGATCGCAATCAACCACAGACCTTAGCCGAGATACGGAAGCAAAATCCAGGGTCCAGCGTCGTCCCGTCTCGCTGCATGCGCTTCCCGAGAACAGGGCAACAATAGGTATCCGTACATAAGTTTGACGCGCCGGGTGGATGATGGGATGGGCAGCCATTCATCGTCCCAAATAGTGCCCTTTCGGGTCAGGCCGAAGACAAGAGGTGCGTTGTGGGAACTAAGTGCCTTGATCCAGTTGCTGCATGCTGCATGCTGCAGGGCGATTGACGTTTGGTCGCTTGAGGTTCGTGGCGTGGCATGGATGTTGCTGCGTAAATTATCCTCAGATCCTGACATCCCCCCTGCCCTGCTCGCCCCGAATGGAGTACGAAGTCGGCTCTGGATGTGCCGCAGCGACTAGCAATGACAGACAGGCTGACAGGGTACCAAGCTGCGGAAGCGGGTGCTGATTCAAGCCCCGGGTAAGATGAACAAACCTCCACGGGCACATACCTTAATTACTTCAAGCCACCTTTCTGGCCCAGCTTCTCTCTTGTCTTCGTCGCTCGGCCTCACATTTTCTCGCACGATACGAGCGCCCAAAGATCCACCTCACGATACCGTCCGACCGAGCGATACAGCCCCTCGCCATAATTCCACCTTCTGGACCCGGTCATCTTCGCTCTCGCCGCAGACCTTCCCAGCATCCATCCCTCCCCTGCCCGTACGGCGCCCAACTCTCTAGCAGCCTAGCTCACCCGTGACCAAGACACATCAGCATTCCACTGCGCCGAATCGGGGCCACCGCTGCGACTCGCGCGCCTCGATGACGACATCAGTCTGAGTTTGTGCAGCTCTTCCGGCCATCATTGCGTCAAACGCGTCGCGACAGTGTTCACTAGCCAGACGTCGATTGCACACCTGGCGCCATTCTTCGCTGCGCTAAGCTGTCTAGACAATCTTCCGGCTATCAAAGAGCTACGCTAAACTCAGGACCAGCAGGAGTCTCTCCCAAGAGTTAGTTGCTCTGGTACCGTGGTGTGCCAGTTGAGACGCCCGTTACCACGCCTACACCAATGTCCATCTAACCATAGTAGCTAGATCCCCGCTCGCGTCGTCCACCGTCTCAACATTCAACCACACCCTCACTTGCCGAAGCCGGTCGCTACTGGGCAGAGGACCTGCGAGACTGAGGTCTGGACGCCGCATACACCATGAACTCAAATCGCACTTCCTCCTACTTTCCTCAACAACCACCCCCCGCCACCATCTCTTCTGTCCCTTCCTCCTCTGGTGGCACTTTACAATACAACGAAGATCAAGAGACACAACTCAACACGCTTGCCAACTCACATCCTGGTCATCGATTACATCACTTCCCGCAAGACGTCGACCATACTTCTTATGACTATACAAACAACGATAGCCTAGCCGTGCCATCAGCAACTTCTCGGGGCAAATTCACGGAAGAATGGGATGCCAGTCAGAGAGGGAGTAGTATCATAGACGGGCCGTCTTCCAACATGCCACGATCAAACTCGTTCGTCTCCAACGCAGGGGAGGATCACCTGAGCCTGCCCTCACGACACAATACCCTCAAGAAGAAGAATTCTTTGCGAAGAAATGGCAGTCTGAAGCGCAGTGGTAGTCGTCGAAGCATGAAGGCTGGGAGTGTCCGCAGCCTAGCCTTACAATCGACTTCAGACCCCGACGAAGCGCACAGCGCTTTTCACTGCCCCGTCCCGACGTCTGGTAATCCAACCGAGGCTCTGTCTAACAGATTTCAATGTAAGTCGCAGGGGTACTTCACCAGCTTGACGGGCGCGAAAGTTTTTGACCTTATCTATAGCTTGGCGCAAGATACTCAAGGATCTCATCGCATATTACCGCGAGATCCAGACTTACTACGAGCACAAGTCTAAGTCGCTCCTGAAGTTGGCCAATGTTGCCAACAACATTTCAACCCCGCCTGGCTTTCTCGAATCGGGGGGTATCGACGATGCCTTGCAAATTCTCCGCACTTATCACAAGGGTGCCATCCTAGAGTCGAATAAAGCCAAGGAAATTGAGGAGGATGTCATCTTGGCACTCACAGGTCTAAGGAGCGATCTGCACCAAAAGATCAAAGAGATCAAGAATCTTTCAGGCGATTTCAAGAATTCTGTTGAAAAAGAGATGGATGGGACAAGACGGGCTGTGAAGACATTGCAGGACACAATAGGTCAGAGTGATCTTGATCCTTCGTTGACGACTGGGAAGCAAGATCCTTACCTTCTACGTCTTGCTGTGGACCGACAAGTCGAGCGACAAATAGACGAGGAAAACTACCTTCACCAGGCGTATCTCAACCTCGAAAATTCAGGTCGCGAGCTGGAGTCCATCGTCGTCGGCGAAATTCAGAAAGCGTACAATGCGTACGCCGGCATCCTCAAGCGCGAGTCCGATGCAGCTTACAGCGCGATTGACGAGCTACGCATTGGGCCCATAACCATGCCCAAGGATCACGAATGGGCATACTTCGTTCAAAAGGACGACCAATTTGTGGATCCAAACATCCCGATACGGTCCGCCGAGCACATCCATTATCCTGGCCGAGACCATGTCGCTTGCCAGGAGATACGTGCGGGACTTCTTGAGCGTAAGAGCAAGTATCTTAAGAGCTACACGGCTGGTTGGTAAGTCGCAAGTTCTGTTTGTAAAGCATCCGAAAATGAGATTGACAATGCCAGGTATGTACTGTCTTCGACTCACCTACATGAGTTCAAATCAGCGGATAAGGGCCAGGCCCCCGTCATGTCGTTGTATCTTCCAGAACAGAAACTAGGATCCCATTCAAGCGAGGGAGGATCATCCAACAAGTTCATACTCAAGGGTCGCCAGACGGGTTCGATGCATCGCGGCCACACGTGGGTTTTTCGGGCCGAAAGCCACGACACAATGATGGCATGGTACGAGGACATCAAGGTACTCACCGAGCGTACGCCACAAGAACGAAGCGAGTTTGTGCGAGGACATGTGCGGAGCTTAAGCCAGTCTTCCCATCGGTCAACCAGTAGTGACGGCGTTCTCGACGACGATGATGACGAACCGTTTTCGGCCGATACAGCAGTCGCAGCCAGCACGAGTTCGAGGCAGGACTTGCGCCGTCCCGAAGCAGGTGGGCGGTTTCCATCCGACATCCAGGTCAACGCGCAGCGAGGCTTACAGGCACCTCTTTCGCCATCTAGTGTGAGCTCGGGATTTGATAACTGGGACAGAGACGCGGCTGCGCAGGCGTCGGCTTTGCCTGGCGGCATGTTGGGCACCGTCCATCCAAACGGATATGGGGGCACAGCACGGACTCCCATGGAAGAGACGCCATCCAATGCGGCCTTGGTCAGTCAACAAGCAAAGGAAGATGGGGTTAACCCGTACACCAATGAGCCTCTGCGCCGCTCTCAGTCTTTGCACAAGGATTCCCAGGCAGCATACCTGTATGCTACAGGCATGCAGAGGGCACACAGCCAGCAAGCTGCACCAACCAGACCCGAGGAAGATGTTCAGCGAACGTCGTCTATAGATCATAACCGCGGACTCGAAACACCAGGTGGCAATAGCCAGTACGGCCAATGGATGAATGGACACGCAAGGTCGAGTCAGGTTACTTCCAGCACCGACAACCAGCGGCAAGATGCGAGCGATTATTCCGTACCAGCTAAACCAGGCAACGATGATATCAACGTGGCTGCGGCGGCAGCAGGCACGAGTGCTTCGCGCGGTTTGAATAACATACACACGCAGCAAAGCGGTACCTCGAGTGGAACACCTAACCCCAGAAATCAGGATCTTTTCCGCCAAACGCTATCCGCTCCTAGGCCGACGGCTGGCACTGTAAGGAATGATAGCGTCCCGACGATTTCCAATTTACATATTCCAGGAGAATACCCCAAGGGCGGGTCGACTGCTGTTGATGCCAGACACTAGTTGCGTTCATTAGAAGGGGTGTGTCGCAACGAAGGAGGAGAGTATCGGCAACGAGTTGGGTATGGACCTACCAAGAGACGTTCGTTCTTCAGACTTTCCTGATCCCCCATTGGTTCCTCTATTTTTTCTATCATTATTGTATCTTCTCCTCTCCCTGTCAAAGACATGTCAGACAGAATATGCTTGCGGGAAGCAAATTGCTACAGAACAATATCACGGTCCGTGATGTATTCGTTGTTTGAATTCCATTCATAGCTCGCCTCACTAGCAAATAAGTCGTCAGCTAGTCTGCCTCTCTCACATAGCCTTTGCTGTTTCGGAACATCCGAACCCCCGAATCCTGTAACCCGCGGTAGACTAAATGCTTCTATTTGACGAGTGTTGGAATAACAAAGCAGACGCGAGTAGCGTACCAAGACCCCCAAGCCCAACACCATAGTATTGTGCCCCGCGGTACCCAGACAGCACATCTAATTTGATCTCGTTGACCTGTGTTTCGACCGTTCTTGCCATTCCCAAAGCAATAGACATACTGTAAGCAAGTACAGATAATACCAGGCCCCCTATAACCCCTCGATAGTCCTCCGGAAGACTATTTCTCAGCAGTATCGTTGCGAGAGGCCCCGCCATGACGATCCCAAGTGGGAGAAGCAGTGTGCTCACGAATATATTTGCCCAGTACGTCTGATCCAAGGGTGCCGTTGCCACGAGTACAGACGCCGACGTGAACCCGATTAAGGACACGAGAAAGGCCCAGTACACCTCTACGCCCGGTGTCAGATACGCCAGAAGAAAAGCCACGGCCAAACTCTCCACCGCCATCGGTACAACTGCAGCGCTTGCCACAAGGCAGTCCCAATCTCGTACTACTTCCATGATCTGGAAAAGATAAAATGCCCAAACAACGAAGCAGCCCCAACCAGCTGCGACACAGGCCAGCACAAGATTTGTCGACGAACTCATCACCCGCAAAGGCACGAGAGGGTTCGCGACGACAGTCTCATTGTACACGAAAGCAGCAAGCAATAAGACCCCGATGACGAGAAGAAAGTAAGTGTAGGGGGTGCGCCAACCGACCGCTGGTGCCTGATTCCATGCGAAACTGAAAAGGGCCAGTCCAAGAGCACTCAGGATGATACCCGTGACGTCGAGTTTCACCCAAATGTCGTTAATACAACACCCTTTGCAAGGATCTTGTTGTGGAAGAATAAGAACGCTTAGCCCCGCGGCTGAAAAGCAGACGGCCGCGAGCACAAAAAAGCACCATTCCCAAGCGAAGTTGACGGCGAAGACAGAAGACATCACAGATCCGATAACGAAGCCGAGGGGCGCGCCGGAACTGTAGAGCGAGAGTGCCGTGTCCTTCCTTTGGCCAGGCGGGAAAGAAGCCTCCAGGATAGAGAAACCGTTTGGAACGCTCAGCGCTGGACCGATACCCTGCATAGCACGGCAGACGCAGAAAAACGTGGCGCCGTTATAACCGCCATTGCGGACAGTCTGAGAAAATCCGGCGAGAAGGCTCCAGAAGGCGTACCATAGGCATCCGCATATCAGAATTCGCTTGTGACCAAAGACTTCTCCTAGTCGGACCGAAGGTATAGTAAACACGCCCAGGGTAAGGACGAAGCCTGCAGTAAACCAGGAATGCTGGCCCTCCGACAAGTTCGTGAGTGAGTTAGCGATTTCAAGCGCAGGAGCGATGCCCTGGGAGAGGCCAGCGAACATAAGAATTTGATGAAGGCTAGTGACACCTAGTAGCGAAAACTCCTGGGAGAAACCCCGGGCAGACACGGGTTGTTTCTCCAATAGGTTTTGTTCTTGGTACAGATAGCCTCTACTTGCCCACGGAAGGTCATCTTCAACAGCGTTTGTCTGCATTACGGCCAAGAGGCGATCGTTCCGGCAGTTGGCCGCAGGAATCGTGTCGATCGCGTGCCTGCTGCGTTGAGTAATGACAATCTTCCGTGCTGCTTCGAACAGATCAGGGTATTCTGAAGGGTGTGCCAAGGCCTCGGGAGCTAGCCTCCTGTACAACCCCAAACCATGCGCCGTGATGTCCCTTGTAGAGGGGGGCGCTCGCAAATGTTCTCTCGCATGTGCTCGCAGACTTTGCGAAGCCAACAGTGGATGACTAGAGAGGGCCTCAGGCGTGGTGCCTGATGCGAGTGACACAACTGCTGCGTTGTGGGTTGAGCTAGGTGATCCTGGTGACGTTGATGATATTGGTAACGTTGGTGACGTTGGTTCGTCGCGTGGGGGAGTATATGATGAGGGAGTCGTGCTCGGCCTGAATGTATGTGATTGTGTTCCGCTCAGATCATTGTCAACCATAGAGAAGACAATGTCTGCAACCGTTGCTCGCAAATCCGAATCTCCAGCCTCTTCGTGGCGAGAGACGTTATTGCTGGGGTGTTGTTCGTCTCGGAACTGCTGTCTGAAGGACTCTGTTACAGCTATCATAACATCGGCTACCCTTTGCATTGCTTCGGTAGCTCTTCGTGTCTCCCACACTGTTGTCGGAGTCTGGATGAAATCTGATGATGTGGGCGAGGTTGCCATATTTGTCTTTGTCGTGCACATTCATAGGGAAGCTTCCCGTTGCTAGTATGAAATAGTATTTGAATGCGGGTTGGTGCTGGTCAAGAAGACGGGAGCATTGCGCTTTCACGCCAGAAGGAGACGGGTAGGTCCAGAGAAGAAGTCCGTGAGCTGTGGTTGAGAAAGTGAGAAATCGAACAAGCGACTCCAACACGTTCAACGTACGACTGGGTTCGCTACCCACCAGGTTGGAAGGATGAGCGAAAATGACAGGGCGAAGGCCATGGAGACCTTCCAGGCTCCCGTTCTATCGATTTGCCGCGTGTAATCTAGCTAAGCAAACAGTTCCCATCCTTTAGCAATATGCTGTGGCTCGTGGCTCAGGACGTCACGGTTCCCCATGCAAGTTGATCTCAGAACTCCATCCGTGGAAAAGTGCCCAGGTTATTAGCGCTATGCTGCTACCGACCAACACTCTCTCTCATCTGATGTTTGCTCATTAATTCCGCTGAATTTTGGGAAGCTTCCGTCAGGTTTCGGGATACACAGCTTCAGATGAACAGCCCCAACTGAGGGCTTGGGGGCGTCGCCGACCAACCCTGTCGGCATTAGCTCCGTGGTTAGCTCGAGTACTTTGAGGCCTCGGGATCAGAACCACACTGTCAGGATGAGGCTGAAGCGAGTAGGATGACGGAGTTTTGCAACCCATTCTCCACAGCAGTAACCCGCGCCACCAGCAAGATCCTTCGCCTTTGCCCAACACTGATCTTTGCTATTTCCCCCCCACAATATCTGCCGTCTTGGAGCTTTCGGTGCTGCGAAGAAGGTCCCAGGTTAGCGGAAGCTTAGAGGCAAGAGGCGCCTGGCTCAGAATAACGAATGGAAAAGAACTTGATAAAAAGAGACTGAAAGGTCAAGCGACAATCAAAATGCGGTTTGTTGACTCGGCGCAAGGCATTGTAGGCTGTATACCTAGCTGACGTCTAATGTGGGTAGGTAGACGGTCACATAGGCTGCGATGATGTTGGTGCTGTGATAAAAATGGAAACAGGCTTCCGTCGAGAGGCCCTGGTCGGTCTCGCGCTTGCGCCTCGTTCCCACGTCAGCTCACCTCGCGCTCAAATCAAAGGCAGACAGAAATACATGCAGTCTTTCAGAGCACTTCTCAAACTATTACCAAATATTTCAAATCTTACTGGAATGTGCCATGGCAACAAATCATGCTCGCAATGAAGACCTCTGTTCTTTTTTTTTTGGGGTAACCATAGTGGATGATGTACATGCAGCCTTGAGCCCCTTTCGCCAGGACTGATGCCAAAGCAAAGCAAACCAGAACGCCAGAGTCGTAGTCCAACAGAAGAAAACCTCCCCCTCTCAGAGCTTCGCACTTGGACACAAGGCTACCGTCCTCTGCTGAAGCCTCCGCGGCCACGACCACCGCTGAAGCCACCGCCGCCCCTCGGTGTGCCGCCCCGGCCGCCGAAACCACCGCCTCCGCGTCCGCCGAAGCCGCTGCCGCCGCGTCCACCTCTTGCGGGGCCGCCACGTCCTCTGCCACCGCCACGCCCGCCGAAGCCAGGACCGCCGCGACCACCCCTGCCGCCAGCACCACCACGGCCTGCACGCTTCAACTTGGGAGCACCAGGGGGGGGCTTCGGCTTAGGAAGGAACTTGTCCAACGGAAGAAGCTTCTCGGAACCAATGTAGAACTTGTCGCCCTCCTTGAAAGAGGTAGCCTGGATACCCTCAGAGGGCTTGATGGTAAAGTAGACCTGGTTGATGGGACCGAGAACCTCATCCACCTTGCCGACAGCAGTCTGTATTCTTGTTATTCTTGCGGCTCACATCGATGAAGGTATTTGGCGCGTCGATCCTACCTTGTTCTCGAGGAAAATCTGGGCGTTGAAGTGAGGGACCTTGGGGTTGATGCTCTCGCAGACCATCTCGCCCTCACACGCGTGCATGAACTTGCCCATCTCTGTGAACAAAAACGGTCAGTTGGGCAATTGCTTCTAGGGGAGGTTTCGAGTCGTTGCTCGATATTCACATACCGAGAATCGTCGCGGGCGGGCCCATGTCTCTTTGTCCGAATCCACCTCGCCCTATTTATCATCATGTTAGCTGTTGATGCGAGAGCGCTTCACCAAGTCTTGACTTTGCAGGGGATACAGCGGTAACTTGAAGAACAATGATGAATTGAAGTAAATGAAAACTTACCGCCTCCTCCACGGCCGCCAAAACCACCACCGCCGCGGCCACGCGGAGCTCCTCGTCCAAACGACATAATGATGGTGGATTGGCTGTAACGTGGGAGCTGCTCGTACTGCTGCTCTTTGCTGCTGCTTGGGGAAAAAACGATGCCTCTGGCGCGCCGACAGAAAATTTCCAGCGACCCAATAGTGGTGCATGCCCAATCGAGCTTTCTCATTGGCTGGATCTGGCGGAGCGGAATATCCTCAGCC